CATAAAGAGCGGGCATCGGTGAATGGAGGTGAGATCTGTTTGGTCTGCTACACTGTGGCTTTAGAACTGGTGTATCCTAAAGTGTGGCTTGTGAATCATCAGCGGTCCATGAGTTTCATGCAGGTGGTTTGCAACAGGAGTTATGCAGAGTAGCAGAGTGACTTGTGCACGGTAGAGGGAGGCAAACAGGGAGTGTATCATCTACACTGTCATTCATAGAACCTGGTTGTCCACTCAGAAGGTGAGCAGGATCAACTGGAAGTGATAGCAAGAGGAGGATCTGCTTTTCTCAGAAGCTCCAGCTGGTGGCAGGATGAGCGAAGGTCTCAAGCCAGGAAAAGAGGCTAACGAGGCCCTTGAAAGAGGTGGAGAGTCAATACAGGGCAGCAGCAGGCTGAATTCTGAATCTGACTTAAGACTCAAGTCAAGGAATATTATGCTGAACTCCAGAGAACTCTATTTAACACAACAGGCACATCCATTGCACGCATCATTACACCGAGGTCATTGTGGGAAATGTAAATGGCAGCCGAATGCAGCCTCCCCCTTCTGCTCCTGCCATGGCACTGGAGCCCCAGATATTTCCTATAGATGCTGGATGTTGATGTCAATTCTGGCAGCAATGGGACATTGAATGCTACAAACCTGTGAACCAGGGATCTCAAGAGGCAGTGACAATTTTCCCAATACAAACTGAATGCCTGCCTATGATCCTCTAGCCATGACAGGATTTCCCTTTAACAGCATTTCATGCAAATGATTTAGGTCTAGGCTGCCTTGAAAGTCGATCCGCTTGCCAGTTTGTGTTTTGCAATGCACTGCCGATACATTTTGGGCAAATGCAAACAATGAATCTGCTACATATGTCCTCTTATTAATGTTTAAGTTTTACCATATGGGACCTACTTGGAAGAGTGGAACATGATGAAAGAAACTGTCAGTGCACGGGAACACAAGGATGGCAGGATGACAGGCCTACACAATGAGCAGCCGACCCAAACTGAGCACTGCCCAGCAGCTGGGGATCAGGGCCTGGGAGGAGAGAACTATTGCTCTCTGGTCTTGTTTGCCAGGGATCAGTCCCATTTTCAGTGTTAGGGCTCGAAACTTACGTAAGACTAGCGAAAAGTTCCTGTTTCAAGTGCAGAATGCATTTTGCTAGCTACAGAGTTCAGAGCACCCCCATTCATCAGGGATGAGATGGAAGGGCTGGCAGATCAGAGGGCGGCGTTTCCTGGCAGATTTGAGTCCTGACATCTCCTTTTCATGGAAATTAAGTGCTGCTGTCAACTTTCATATTAATTTTGTCTAAGCAGAAGGTCTATCATCAACATAGCCCCCCACCCCCAGTAGGAACAAGAAACAGCCCCACCCTGAACATTTTGACATTAAGCAAGGAGCTTATAATTAAAGGACGCTGCCATTTTGCCAGGCTTTCATTCTTAGGAGAAAGTGCAAATTCTGTTCCACGTGAACTTTCGCTACTTCCAACTTTTGTCCTTTGTTCTTTTCTTTAAAGCTTTACAGCAAATGCAGGCCCATATGCTTACATCAGTTAATCTCGTATTAAACATATTGCCTGTGCACAATGTTGGCGTGCATTAATAAATGTTTTCTTTTTTAATTCTTTCTCCCCCCTCCCTCCTTCTTCACTTTAGATTCCTCCTTTGACTACACAAGCAACAGCTGTCTAGCTTCCTGTTCAGTTCTGGATCTAATGCCTCTCCCGAAATCTAGGTCAAAACACTTGGAATGCATGAATATCAAACAGAGTTTTCAAAACAGCAAATGAATACATCTTTAACTGGTGACATTTTCCCGCAGCATATGGCTGTGAGCTCAGGGGACCTGCATGTGTTTTTTGTGGACTTTCTTCTCCTTTTTTGTTTTTTTGATGAATATGTTCCGTCAAAAACTAAGGAATGGCAGTGGGCTTATATCACCTTCTGTTTTCCCTTATGAAATGATAATGCAAGCTCATGCCACTGTTGCAAGACATTTACGTTCCATCCAATCCCGAAATATCACAAAGATTTACTGGTTGAGTAACTTTGGTCATGTTACAGTAGGAACATAGGAAACAGTCGTATAATAAGCCCATCTAGCTCCGTATTGTTGACACTGACTGCCAGAGGCTCTCATCTGCAGACCAAAACTGTAAAGGATATTCAGCTATTGAATATTGGCAAAGAGCATGGATAATATTACAGACATGCAACTCAGGTTGCTGGCGAATTTTGACAAAAATGGGAGCAGATATCAGTCGTTTTCACTTATTTGTACCATTTCTGGAACAGAAATCAATCCAGTGGTGGTGATGATGATGATTTAAATTTGTATATAACCCTTCATCCATATATCTTAGGGCAGTTCACAGCATTAAAATACAAGCTAAAAAAACTCAAAATACATAATAAAAACAAGAACGAAATGAAACAATACCCCCTTTTCCGTCCCGCAAACACATTTAAAAGGATGTTAGCCAAAAGCCTAGTTGAAGATGAATATTTCCCCCGGCGTCTTAAGGTATATAATGAAGGTGCCAGGTGAACCTCCCTGGAAACAGCATTCCACAAATATAAAGCCCTTGTAACCAAAGGCCCAGTCTCATGTTGCTGCCCTCCACATGATAATCACAGTGTCTGGGTATGTTCATATGGGGAAAGGCAGTCCTTAAGGTATTGAGGTCCTAAGGTGTTTAAGGCTTTATAGGTCAAAAGCAGCACTTTGAATTGGGCCTGGAAACTAACTGGCAGCCAGTGCAGTTGGGCCAGAATTGGAGTAATCTGCTCAAACCGTCTTGCCCTGGTGAGAAACCTAGCCATCAAATTCTGCACCAGCTGAAGTTTCTGAACCATCTTCAGAGATAGTCCCACATATTGCAGTAATCTAACCTAGAGGTTACCAGAGCATAGGCAACAGTAGTTCAGCTATCCCTGTCCAAATGAGGATGCAACTGGGCCATCAGCTGAAGCTGATGGAAGGCACTCCACATCACTGAGGCCACCTGAGCCTCAAGCAACAACAAAAGGTTGACTTGTTGCTATGGTTTTCAGAACAATAAATCATTGCTGACTCCCCACCCCCCAATTTGCATTGTTTCATTTTCATTGAAACTAATGGGGTTCAATAACATAAGGCTAGAAGATTCAGGACAGATAAAAGAAAATACTTCTTCGTGCAGCACATAGATATACTATGGAACTCACTCCCACAGGAAGCAGTGATGGCCACCAACTTGGACGGCCATAAAAGATGAGTGGACAGATTTACAGAAGATAAGGCTGTCAATGGCAACTAGCTAGGATTGCTGTGCTCTGCCTCTGTGGATGAAGGCAGACATGCTTCTGAATACCAGTTGCTGGAACGTGTGTGTGTGTGTGTGTGTGTGTGTGATGGACAGATGGGACGTGCTCTTGAATTCAGGTCCTGCTTGTGGACAGGATTCTGGACTAGATGACTCAGTGGCCTAATTCAGCAGGCTCTTATGTTCTTAGGTCCAAATGCTCTAAAATAACATTTTAGATCTCAGCTCTAAAGCAATGGCGGGGAGAGCTGGCGTGGCCGCATTTGAATGGCTAAACCACACACCCCCACACACAGGCACCTGATTGGGTGCCCACTGGGGGCGTGGCGCGCCAGCGATGGTGAGGGGGCAGGGGGCTGAACGCCCCCTGCGTGACGCGGGAATCGTCTCCCGGTCACAACCAACCCCTCCCCTCCGGAAGGAGGAGAGTTTCTTCTGAACAGCACCGTTCTGTACATGTAATGAATGGGAGGGCTTATTCCCAGATAAGTGAACATTGAAGCTATATAGTCATAATCCTCTCTCTCCCCCCCCCCCCCAGAAGTGAAGTCTGCTGTGTTCAGTGGGGCCTGCTCCTGGAAAGTGTCCACTGGAATGATCCTTAATGATTCTATGTTTCGCTGCCCCCTATCACAGAGGCCACTTCAGAGATAGCTTCTGTTGAACTTAAATGGGCACATAGAAGAGCATTCACAGATTACATTTTACATTCGGTGACATAACTGAGTTACACAATTGTACTATTCTTCCCCTGCAACATTCAACAGGTGTACAGCCTGTGCATACCTGTGCACACACCACTGACTCGACAAATGTACACACATGTGTAGAGGAAGCTGGTACCTGTGTTCGTCATAATGAGAGAACCAGGCCCATATGATACTGAACCCCAGGATGGAGGAGGACAGAACTTGAAGATTTGCCTGGGAAGTGTAAAAGCAAATAATGTTCTTGTAGGCACAGAAACATCTAGTTCTATCTTGTATGGCAGAGCCAATAATTACAGAAAATAACAAGGTAGAAGGAGAAAGCTTTAAACCGGCTCACTTTGTAGAAACAAAGTGGACCCAAAATGTGGGTGTTTCTGAGTAATAGTTACAAACACCAGAGGGAAGATGTTCCCTATCTTTCCAAAATGGTAGCCCTGCTTCTCGGGGAAGACAGGGCTATTTGAGCTCAGCTAGCGATGCTCATGTCTTAGATGGCATATTTTATTTTTCTCAAATCAACATTAAAAAGTTGAGATATTAATTACCCATTTACTGCCAATGTAGCGGAAAATGTAATTTATGGCCCCCTTCTGAAAGAGAGGTGGGGGGAAGGACCCAGTTAATTTACGAAGGCGAATGATTCAAATAACACTTGGAATTTGATTATTCGTATAATTGAAATGTTGCTCTTGCAGTCAAAAAGGCTTTTGTACACGTTACACTGTTAGCAACAGCTTAAATAAAAGCTTGCTCGCTGGAAACGATCCTCAGTGGTGAAGGGAGGATACAAGCCAAGATGATAGGGGTGGGGAGCAACCAGGTGAGCCTTTCCCAAGCTGGAGCCCTCCAGATGTTTTGGACTACAACTGCCATCAGCCTTGGGCAACATACATTATACAGAGTCCCAGTGTCTAGTGCAGTTGGGCCTGCATTGACTAGTAGCAGGTTTCCAAGGTTTGGAACAAGTCTTTCCCATCCCTACCTGCAGATGTCAGAGACTGAATCTGGGACCTTCTCCATGCAAGGCAAATGCTGTACCACTGAGCTATGGCCCTCTCCTTAAGACACGGGAACACAGGAAGCTGCCTGACACAAAATCAAACCACTAGTCCATCTACATAGCTCAGTATTGTCTACGCAGACTGGCACCGGCTCTCCAGGGTTTCAAATTGGAGTCTCTCCCAGCCCTACCGGCAGATGCTTCTGGGAATTGAACATGGGACCTTCTGCTTGCAAGCCAGATGCCCTACCAGTTGAGCAAGAGGCCTCCTCTTTGGTTTTTTAACAGTCATGAATGACTTTTTTATAGCATGGTGAGCCATCTGTACAAATAAAGGGCCAGTAGCATGTGGCCCTCAGAATGTTGTCCAGAAGGGAATGTGGCCCTTAGACTGAAACCCACCACTACCTCCCAGTGGAGACAGCACAGACCTTGATGGTCCAAGGGTCTGACCCAGCATATGGCATTAGCCTATGTTCCTGCCCTATCCCTGCCTCGGTTCCCTCTCTGCAAATGAGAGCAATGTGGGTTTGTCATGCAGGGATGGCTTGAGAGTGCTGCTCATGTGAAGTCCTCCTGGTACAACCTGGGAGCCACCTTGAGTGGTCATGGGAGGCCAAACATCACAGAACACCCAATGTATTTGGCCAGTTAGCCACATGATGCTGTCTCTCCATCTTTCCCCACCCTGTTTTCCTATTCTCCTTTATTTCTCTTCCTGTTATTTCCTTTTCATGGAGGAATGGGTTAAACTAAGGCCTGATTAAGCCATGAATGGCTGACATTTCAATATCAAGGAGGAATCAGTGGCTGAAGTATTAGTCCAAATGAGTTTCGGCGAGGGCTTTTTCAACAGAGGTGCCCCCCACCAGCTCTTCCCTCTGTTCCCCTTCTCATGTTGCCCACATCGCATTATGCAAAGAGACAAATTGCAGAGAGGAGCCCTCCTCTGTCCCCTTTCATCTCCCTCCACTGGCCATTTATGTTTCGAAGCTTCGCGGCTTGACACTGCAAGGCCCCGATATTCCGCCTGAGAAATTAAAGGCATGCTGATTAAACCTGACAGAAAGGGCTTATCGCTGAAGTCTTTTGGCTTCCAGATTGGCAGCCAGCTGAGGAGAGGCTAAACTTAGAAAGTATGATTTAAAAACAATGAAAAAACACCAAAAACCAAATGCAGCTTGCCAACAAATGGAGCTCCACTAGCCATGCCAGAATCTGCTGTTCAGAAACAAGCCAGTGTCCCTTCTGTTGTGATTGGAGCACAATAAAAGTTCTTTTCTCCCCAAGAAACTTGATTATTTTGTAATCAAACTCTCAGTCACATTCAAAGCGGGGTGGAAAGAGGCCATGATGCAAAAAGTGCTATATAGTAACTCAGTGTTTTCACTTATTTCCTCATGATTCGTATCTTTGAGGGAGAAGTTCAGCATACGCACAAATGAAAGAATGGATTATATCATTATTGGGATCAGTGGGTGTTAGGGAAGGCATGATATTGGTCAAGGAAATCTGTACCTACAGACTTGCTCCATCATCTCCTCCTCCTCCAATAGATAATAAGGAGAACCTTTCTGGGTAATATTTTTTGCAGCGTTTGTTTCCAGCACTGACCAGCTAGATATCACTGGAAGTTCATAAGCAGGGGATAGACCAACAGTGCTTCTCAATTATTTCTCTCTAGCACACGGCTGAGGGACCCAAATAGGAGGATGCAGTCTTGTCCCCTAGAACCAGGTACCACCTTCACAGGTGGAAGACCCACCCCCAACCCCTGACAGAGCACATGTTTGCAATCCCGTGTCTTTAAAATTTGGCAGACAGGGTGTGGAAACTCATTGGGATATATTTGTCACTTCTGTTCAGCTCTAGATTTTTTGTGCTGCGCTTGAACTCCTGAAGTGCGACTCTTGAGCCCTGTGTCTGCTGCTGAACCTGTACCGATACTTGCTTAAATAATGATATATTTCTGAATTGCAAATATGAGCCTCTGCTTACATGTTTTGGAGTGGGAGCCAGGAGAATAACATAAGTAGAGTGTGCTGGATTAGGCCCATGGTCCATCTGGTCCAGAATCCCACTCTCACAGGGGCCAACCAGATGCCCATGGGAACCCCGAAAGGAGAACCTGAGTGATAGTCTAGTGATAGTCCAAATTATATCAATGTAATGACAGGAAATATGCTTGAAAGTCCAGTTTTTCTGAAAATCTGCCCAATGTGATAGTGCTGCTTGAGCCAATAAAGGCTGTTCTCATCTTGAAGGTCAATTCTGAGGTGAAATAAAAAAATAAAAATATGATTTATGTTTCACTGGGACTAGTAAATTTCTCCAGTGTCAAAAATGAAAGCTTGTCCAAACCTTAGACTGAAATAGGAAGATGCCTTTGTTTTCCCTCTTGTTTAATATCTTCCCGGAATGGAATAAACATATTGCACAGCAAATCTAGGCAGGCAGACAGACAGTTTCTGGCTTCACATAAAGAGGATGTTTCATTAATTTGATATAGAAAGTGCATGTAAAATTAACAATAAATTAGTCAAACACATATCTTTTTCTAAACCCACCCAGACCTCTCTATAGTTGACCACAAGCCAAGATTAAGAACATGAGAACATAAGAATAGCCTCCTGGAACAAGCCAATGGGCCATCTAGCTCAGCATCCTGCTCTTACAATGGCCAACCAGATGCCTGTGGGAAGCACAGAAGACCAAAAGGACTCTCCCCTCCTGTGGTACCCAGCAACTGGTATTTAGGGTGAAGGAGCTTCCACAATGGAAGTACAACATAGTCATCATGCTGAGTACCCATTACCCTCCATGAATTTGTCTAATTCTCTTTTAAAGCCAAGTGGTCTCACTGCTACTGAATCCACTGGGATTAGGGTTGCCATATTTCAAAGAGTAAAAACCAGGACACCCCGAAAGCTGTTGGAAGACCCCCAAAATTGTTAAGCTTTTTTAAGGAAAACCTGAAAGTTGCTGAGCTGCTTTTTAGACAAACCCCAAAGTTGTTAAAACACCTAAGATTCCTTCCAGATGTATGTAGCCCTAACTGGAATCCTAGGAAGGACACCACAGAGACTTGCCTGAGAAGAACTGCATGGTAGTTCCCATTCATTTTCCATCGGCTTGTGCAGGATGACCATCAGCAGAAGGTAGATTTAGGATGGATGGATCTGTCAATTTCAGTTCTCTTTTGAGGTGGGGTTTTTGGGTTTTTTTTGGTCTTCTTTTTCAATCTTAAATTCACTTCTCCACATTTCTTCACCCCTCCAAAAAAATCTCATGAAACTTCACCAGTATTTTAGTGCAAATTTCTCCTCATGAACTAAGTCTTGTACAGTGATACCTCAGGTTACATATGCTTCAGGTTACATACGCTTCAGGTTACAGACTCCGCTAACCCAGAAATAGTGCTTCAGGTTAAGAACTTTGCTTCAGGATGAGAAAGGAAATCATGCTTCAGCGGCGCGACAGCAGCAGGAGGCCCCATTAGCTAAAGTGGTGCTTCAGGTTAAGAACAGTTTCAGGTTAAGAACGGACCTCCAGAACGAATTAAGTACTTAACCACCTGAGGTACCACTGTATGTAGCTTTGACTAATATACACACTTTTGCTAGCATTTCCCCCTAATGCAATGTGTTCTGGTATCTTATTTTGTGAGCATTTCCCCACAATGCCAAATGTATTCTGGTATCTTATTTTCAGTAATATATATGCTTTTAATGAACATTTCCCCCTAATAGATGCTTTATTGTACCTATTGTTTGGCTGGAGAACTGCATTGCAAAATCTGGAGACGTGTGAATTTCAAACAATAGCTGTCTTTTGGTTCGCATATTTATTGTTTCGGGAAGTGTGAATTAGGTAGTTTCTCATTAAAATGAAAACAAAACTGGATTTCTCCTTCCTCCCCATGGTAAACCATATCCCAAGATTTGAAAGGGATGTGAATTTAATAGTTAGCACACCTAGACCATTCCCTCCATCCTGGGTTTAAGTTATGAACCTGTGGGGGTCATATTTCAGTAGAAAAGAGTCTTTAAAAATGCCTCCCTTTGATGGATTGCCTTTTAACACTCCTCTGTATTTGAGCAATTTTTCCCCCCATTGGAAGCCATAAATAAGTAAACTTTTAAGCCCTCTCTTAATAGACTCACCAACTCCTTATGCGCGCCTTTTCCTTGTAAAAAGCGCAGGGGTGTATAATTACCCCCCTGCCAGAGAGGCAAAGTTAGTGACATGTTGAGCAAAATGCTACACTGTGTTAATAGCGCCTTCGGAAGAAATCAGAAAAGTTAATCATGTGTGGACACGGGGTTAAGAAGCAATGTAACAGACTATTAAGTTTAATATAGGTATTTGATATAAGCATATGCAGACAGCCATTAGCATAAATTCATGTTTCAGGAGAGCAGAGCAGAACACACACCCTACGATGGATTTATAACATTCCCGGTGCACAGGATGGACATTGAAATGAGGAAGAAGTAGGTCAGAGAATTGCAGGTCTCCTTGGTCTACAGCAGAGCAAGTTGGTGGAGTACCATGTTGGTCGAAAACGGACCCTACAGCTTCAGATTGTAGGTAGCATGTTGTATTTTTAAATGTTCCCCTGTAGAAAAAAGGGGGGAAAGACGATTTGTCCCTGGAAGCTGGAAACTAGCAGGATGGGCTAAAATCTTTCTTAATGTTGTTCAGGTTTTCTTCTTGCAAGTTGTGGTTGCAAGATATTGATGTGGTTGTTGTTGTTTTCTTTTTTTAAAAAAAAAGGACAATGAGGAGCAATTCCACCCTGCCCACCAAACAACAACAACAACTTATCTCCAACTTGGGTATCTGTCCCCACCATCGCTCAACCCCAAATTGGCTGGAGTTGATGACTTTGATCAAAATAACAGCAACATTAATAATACTTAGCATTTATAGGGCTTGTGATCTGATCAGGCTCCAGTGGTTCACAAGTGGTAGTGCTCAGCCACCATAGGAACCTGGGAGCTGAGGTTCCTTTGCCCCTCCCCATAAAATATTTGATGGATCCAGCCCCCC